AAAAAAAAAAAAAAAAAAAAAAAAAAAAAAAAAAAAAAAAAAAAAAAAAAAAAAAAAAAAAAAAAAAAAACATAAAATAAAAAATAAAAGAAAACATAAAGAAAACACACCTACGAAGCATAAAATACAATCCCCTTACTTCTAGAGGGTTTTCGACAGCTGCTACTAGTCTTAAGAACACGCGCCAGTCTTCGAACGCAAGTCGATCAAAAGACGAAAAGGGATAACAGATTTTCAACTCCCAAACCCGTAATCTCCAATCACTCACAATTATGCAGATCAGGCGGAGAGTCAAAATTCAAGCCCAAACCTGATCTCCCCAAAAGCTCCATAGCAGAACAACAACAACAACAAGCCTAAATGATCTCCAACACTTCTGCTGGGTTCGACATAAATGAAGTGTATTTATGGTATTTGTAGCCATCCCTCACCGGTCGACCTCTCCCCCTTATCCTCACTTTTCCCTTCTTATCTCTCGACCTCTCCAAGCTAGCTTCTCCAACTTAGCGAACTCATCTTCGGAATTCTCCATGGTAATGTACTTATTGCATCTTTTCAAGAACTCATCATAAAGTCAATGTCAGCTTCTTGGCGAGCGAGCTCCTACAGGCACTCGCAAGCCTCTGGTCAGTCCTCCAGCCTTAACCTCTTGCGAGGTTGAAGGAACTTTAACACACACTCAAGTACATCGACCAACGTAGCTTCTTAAAGTCTCATTCTCTTGTTACTTCATTGCCATCATTGTCAAATAACTTTTTTCCTGCGACCTTGGATTTGCGAACTGGTTGAGGAACATGGTTGTGAAATCCTCAAAATCCCTAATTGACCCTCATTAGAGATGATTGAACTAATCATGTTCCCCCCACCCACTCCCCTAAAGGTTGTGAGGAACGTCCTGCACCTCACGATAATCGTGTACCCTTGTAGAACGACCATGTACTCAAACGGCCTGAGATGACGGGATGGATCTGTAGACCCGTTATAGGTGATGTTGAGCTTTCTAAATTAACTCGGTTCGCCACCAAGACCTCCGGGGCAAAAGGATGACCTCGAGCTCTCGCAGCCCATTTTCCGTCGACCTTTGCTTGCAGCTCATGAATCTGCTCCCCATCTCCAATCTTCTTCTTCTTCTTCTTTTTATCCTTGATGTTATTATCAAAATTCGAAGCTTATTCATAAAATAGATTGAGTTCTCATTGGGAAGCAACATGAGTCGCGCGACTAGCGGCGACCTGACCGGAGATGTGGGAGCGATGGATGGAATGAAGAGATCCATCGAGCGCGCAACTACGTACATCTCTAATGACGACGTCGTCGACATACAACCATTGACAGATGCGGTTGAGAGGTCAAGAATCTTCGAACAACACCGACGCACAGTAGGAACTCGATCTATCGGGCACCGATGGCGAAGAGCCGAGCAGGCAAAGTTTTTCCAAGGCGGCGTGACGAGACAAATGACGTCTCCTCTTTCGAGTGGCAATGGTTCGCGTGGCTTGTCCAAAGGTGGCAACGACTTGTGGCGGTGATCTGTCGAGTACATCGAAAACGAGCGGCTGCGACTGTGGCTGTGGGCTCGTCTCGGGAAAAGTCGTCGATGGAGTATCAGTGACACACGACAGCCTTGCTTGTGAGAAGCGACGACATGCAGATAGTTTTGATCTGATCCGTTTCAATGTTTATTTGATGTTTATGTATAGTTTATGAATGGTATATCAACAATTTTTTTTTTTACACAACAGTTAGTAACACACTGCACGCATATATAGTTCTCACAAAACGGATCAATTTTTCGTTCTCCCGCCCAACCGCTTCTATTTCCAAAACGGACCGTGTAAACGGCTTAAACGACCGTTTAGGCTGTTTAATACCGTTTAATACCGTTCCGTTTACACATTTTACACGATTTTTTTCCGTCTACACGTCTAGCCTGTTTAATTACCGTTTATTCGCTAAACTGCACACCATAGCGCCGTTTACCGTTTAAACAGCGTGTAAACGGTCTAAACGGCCGTTTAGGCGAACACTGCTAAATATACTGATTGACGTAACATAACCTGAAATTATTCTTATGCCCGTCTAGCACAAGATTATGATGATCGTCTATAAACTTTGACCTCTTTTATTATAATTGTTGACTTGGTCCGTTTTGTCATTGTATATTACGAAAATGTAAATTGCACATATCTACTTATATGTTATGGAGATATAAATTTTGTATATCTACTTATATGTAATATATAGTTACAGATTATAAACCAAACATAAATTGAATTTCGGTTGAGCAAAAAAACAAAATTGTAATCTATAATATATATATATATATATATATATATATATTTAACATCCTGGGAGCATTTATAATATGTTTTACTTATAAATATTGTACAGATTGTATGTAAAAAAATTAGTAAAAAATATAAACAAAAGTATAAACAAAATTCAAACATCACAATTGTGTTTAGATAGTGTTATATAAATAAAAACCCAACATATATTGAAATGTATTGAATATAAACGCAACATTTATTGAAAATCGCAAATTAAGACCCAAAACCACGACCATGGACATGGCCTTCTTCTCCGCATCTGCAAGCTCAGACCGAAGCTTCTCCGTAGTTCGGTCAATTTGAAAGTTGGTTTCGTTCATCTCACACACACTCTCGATCAACTCCCTTCCCCGTTGAATCCCCCTATGCCGCCTCAATCTTAAACACCACTCAGATCGGTAGGGAGCCTGTCGAGGGGTTGAGTCTCGACCTCGATCTTGTGGAAGTTGTCGCAGACCTCGCGCTTGAGCGTCGCAATCCGCTCTGAAGGAGGTGGCGGCAACCGATGTGTGGCGGTCGACCCCCCGAAACGTCAATACCAGTGCACCTGGCGGGTGAAGGAGACTGACCAAAAATTTGATAAATCGATTCTGATTTTTTTTTTTCCAAGAAGAAAATTATCAACAACAACGAGACAAAAATATTCTGTTTTTTTTTTCGAACGATAACAAATACTCATAGCATAAAAAAGAGTTTTACAAACCGAAGAGCCCACTAGCTCCAAATAATATTCTGCTTTTCAATTGTGTAAATTACCAACGCGAGGTGAGAGAAGAAACATACATTTTTAATCCACACTTTATTTATCTAGTATTTACCTAATTAAATGGGTATAATACCATATATGTGCAAATAAGTTTTGCACATTAATAGTTATGCACATTAATAAATTAGCCTTTGCATTTTTAAGTATGTTATGCTCAAGTTTTATTAGTTAGTGGACGTTTCTGCAATTACAAAAGTTTCTTTTAGCAATATTGTCATTTATTGAGCATATTTGCATCTTTGCCTAAACT